CGACCCGATGCCACCCCCAACACCCGGGACAGCCCGGCCCCGACCCCCGGCACTGATGCCATCCCCGACACCCAGGACAGCCCGGCCCCGACACCCGGCACTGATGCCATCCCCGACACCCGGGACAGCCCGGCCCCGACACCCGGCACTGATGCCATCCCCAGACAGCCGCTGTCCCCGACACCCGGGACAGCCCGTCCTCAGTTCGCAGAGCTGGAATCGGCGTGTCCGCACTCACGGCACCCTGCAGACAGATCCATTTACCTCGTGTGTGCAGGGTGCCGACAGCTCCCTGGTTGCTGCGACACACGCAGGTAGATCTTCAGTGGCTGTGGAGTGTCACAGCTGCGCTGAAGTCCACAGGAACAGCTCTTTGTCGCAGTCGGGAGGCGAGCCCTGTGCGACGAGGCTCTGGGCTTGTGGAGAGGAGAACCAGCTGCAGCACGCAGGCCTGGAGCCCCCTCGCCAGCTCTCCCCCACGGCTCTCCGAATTAGCTTTACAAGTGCCAGTTCTTCCGCTTGTCCTCTGCTACACAGACAGTGACGGGGAGAAGGAGGAAGGACTGGCTTGATTAAAGTCAATTTTCCATTCTGATCTGTGACTTCATCAGAAAGGGAAAGGAATAAAAGAAATCAAGATGTTCTAACAGAAGTAAACTCAGTTATTTTCTAAACAAGAAAAGCTTGTTCCATAGCAAAGATGTTAGCGACAGTATCTGGAACTGACTCATCTTTGCCCGTTTTTCCATCCGTCTGTGGCAGCCTATTCCCAGGATCCAAGCAAGGGACTGTGTCTTTTCTTACAGGAAACAGTAACGGTGGCCGTGCTGGATCACTTGGAGCACCTAGCGCTCGTTGATTTCCGCAACGCAGAGGGCGTAGAGCGGCTGCAGAAAGCAATCCAGTTTGCTGATCAGCTTCATGAGGTAAACACAGAGGGAATACAACCAATGGATTCAGTACTAGAAGACAGGTGAGGAATCACTGTTAGTGGCCTGCTTTGAACTATTCATTTGTCAAAGTATTTGCTCTGAAAACTTTTTTCCAGAAATATCCTAGCTATACATTTGGCCCCTTTGCTTACAGAAAGCCTTTAATGCGGTGGTGTGCGGAAGAAAGAGGCCAGATTAGTGCCCACAAGCTTAACACGTTAGCACAGCAAAGATGCACTCCAATCCTTTAGCGCTGTCTTGCTATTTATCCTGAAGGACCTGCACGTGCTGTTCCCCCAGTGTCTGGCAACAGCTTTTGAAGTTGCTTCAAAGTGTCCTAGTACTTGTTGGTCTGCTTGCTTGAGACTGAAAACAGCTTTAGAGATACTCAATGCTTTGTACTTTAGTAACAACCTAACAGGGCATGTTTAGCTCAGCTTTTTACAAAGTTGTGCTGCCAGTAATCCTACATGCAAACATGCAGTCCTACATGTACGTCCTCTGACGTACTTGCCTCTGTATGGCCAGCTCCATACTAAAGCTACCACCAAGTCAAGAGGCGTGGGATGTTTTCAAGGTTTCACTGTCGGTTTAGTGATTGTTTAGGTATATTCAAAGCCTGACAGACTAAGTTTTTCTGACAGGACAAGGCTGCGACTGTTCACTCATTTGCCAGTCGTCTTTAAGGAAGAACTTCTTAACATGTCAACAGCTTATTGAACAGAAACATTAAAAGATAATGGAGATGTGAAAAAAAAAAACAGATCCATGGTGCTTGCACGCAACTTCTGTGCTAGCCTTTGTACTTTGTAGTTTAAAGACAGGCTACTACTCTTTGTTCTTCAGGTGTCTGTATCTCAGAGAAGATGATGTTACAGAAGGCAACTGCACAAAGGAGCTGCTGAAAAATGCCAGAGAAAAAATAGAGGAATATTTTGTAGCCCCACCAGGTACTGTCTTGTTTATAAAAAACCTCTTAATTTTGCTTGAACTACCTTTTGCTTGAATTAACCTGAGCAATGTACCCCCCCACACACAACTGAATTTACTTTCAGAAATACTAGGCAGTAATAAGAATGTATTAAAATAGGGAAATAATATCTGTAGCCGTCTATGAAGACACACTTAAATCTATTGGTCCAAAAGGAGTACAGAAATCTTACCCTAAAGATAGTGCGCATATAGACCTTCCTTCATTTGCAGGAAGTCAGACAAAACTTTTTTGCTCAGGACGTGCAAGTTGCCTGTACGTATTCAGAATAAACTGGAGGGGCACATTTGTGTTAATTTGTACTACCCGGAAGGTAACTTACAGCTGGTCTCACACCTTTTTTTTTTTGTTTGTTTGTTTCCTATCAGGTAACATCCCTTTACCAAAGTTAGAAGAAAGAGACACTTTTCTGCAGGGATCTTAATGAAAGCCAAGAACCAGAACGCCATTTCAGTAGTTTATTTGGGAAAACAAGGGTTTGTGCAGCCACAGCTGAAATACTCTAGTGGATATTTTTATCAAAAGAGCACTTGTACTACCACATTTTTACACCTTCCTTCTGTAAATTATCTTGCTATTGAAATATATTCACTGTTCATGAAGCTGAAAGGCAGCATGAAATCTAGACAAATGTCCTTTGTGCTTTTATTTATTAAAGCGTGTCCATGTGTCCATGTTAATCTTTAAGATGCCGAATGGCTTAAAGGTTTTAAAGAGAACGTTAAGTGTGATAATTAAAAAAGAAACAAAACACTTTTTTTTCCTGACAAACATACAATAAAACCCAAATATTTGCACTGTATCCTTACCAACAGCCCTTTCCCAGCATGAATGAGGAATGAACAACTGGAGCCTATGACCAATGCATAAATAACCAGATTGAGATTTCCATAAAGGTGGCAGTTGCTTTGTTCACATTCTGGTATTCAAGGTCTACAGAGAAAGACTTTACAAAACATTTGGCGAGGGCATTTGAGAAATACCTCGTTAACAATCACCTGCAAGAGCAGAGGTTCAGCTCTTGGAGAGGAAGATGAGAACAAACGTGTAAGATGCTATGATGTCAGCCTAGCCAGACAGGTAAAGGATGGAGTCTGCCCATTAGGATTTTAACTGCCAGTGGCAAGCTACAAAAAAATAGAGCCATCCTTCACACTAAGGAGACGCCAAACTCTCAAGCAAGAGTTACATACCAGTAGCTCAAATTCTGTAAGGAAATCTCCCAAGCAAGCGTGCTCAGCCTTCAGCTCCCAGGCAGGACTTGTGTCATAGAAAGCTCAGCGACAGTAAAAAGGTGATCGCAAAGAAGTAGCACAGCTCCAAGAACAAAAAAACTCCACCTAAAACAAACAAACAAGCTCTATGGCTTAGCAGCTCAGAGATCAGGAGACCACCACAGAAAGAGGTTCTGTGCTGGGAAAATGGGGAGCACCACTACAGCGAGCAACAGTTTCATCCTGGCTGACGATACTGAAGTTTGCTCACAGAACCTCCAGCGGCTGGAGGCACGAGGAGCCAAGGCTCATTGACAGAAACCAGAGACCTGCTGAAAAGAGAAGAGTGCAGCAAACTGGGAGTAGTCCAGACCTCTTGCTTTCAAGATATAAAAAAGCACAGAAAACATCTGTGACAGACTTTTCTTCCTGGACCATGTCCCCTCCAAATATATATTTACAAATTCAGAATTATTTATTCTAATAATAACTTCATGCACTGGAAGAGATCATGAGCCACAATGGAATTTTCTTGAGAAATGCTAGAAGAGACCCTTGAAGTTATTGTAATAGGATACTACTAATCACCAGCTCTGAGATTCTGCTTTTATGGCTCTCGAGAGCATGGCAGGAAAAGGAAAGTGTGCTCTTCCATGACTGTGCATGCACATGCTGTTCCCTGGAGGGCAGAAACTTACCCCGTGAGATTGGACCTTGATGTCATCCACTTTACGCAGTACATGTTCTGTGTCTTCTTTGCAAAGAAAAGCCACTGCTCCCATTCTGTACACGCCCACTCTGGATACTCCTATCTTTCTGTACATCTGCATAATGAACTTCCAACAGCTTCACGCATGCAGTCCTTCTGGTCCTGCCAGCTGCCTGATAGAGGAAGTCCCGAGCGAGGCCATCATCCTAATCCTTCTCTCCCATAAACTTCCACATCCTTGCAAACAACAGGTAATACAAATTAGAGGTTAAATATATACATGCATGCATTGCTGCTTAACATCTCAAAAGGCCACTAAGTCTATTAAAAGTATAATAATATGAAAAACACTGAAAAAAATACTTGAAGAGAGTTTCAGTAGTAATGGTATTGGGTTCAGCCATTAGTGGCTTGCTCATAATACTGTATGTGTGTGCAAACTGCTTTGAAAAGTTCCCTCGTAAGCCATTATGTGCTACTTATTTCATGGAAAACCTAAGTTGAGTGAAAAAGACTACAGCTGCCTTTGCTGTTATTCACCAATAAGATGAGCCTACTACACAGGACCAAGACATCACAACCACTGGGCAAGATCCATTTTCGTTCACTTATCTGAGAAGTTGCTGTTTTGGTAAACTTTGAATGATCTGGAATTTTTTTTTTTAATATCTGTCTAGCAGGAAGTGAGAGAAAACACTTTTGTTCCACTCTTATTTTGTTTTTGCACAGTTACCTCATTATTTGTTTTGGCTTCCATAATACACCTATAGGCATAGATATATATATATATATTTACATGTAATTATATACATATATATTTGATCTCTCTGAAGGGTATTGAATAAAAATCTGTATTTAGTCCCACTAATCCAATTTACTGCAAAGTTATAACACAGTATTACTGTTTAAGTCTCAGGTTTTTTGAGATTTAGACCTTGCGAATCCCAAACTTCTACAACTATACAAGCCTTTGCTAACAGACACTTAGGATCCATGCATAAAGCACAGCAGGGAAAGACTGTAAGTCAGCAAGCACATCCTATGACAAACATGTTAGCAGAGCATTCCCAATTTGAGAAATCTCCACTCGCTCCTATCCGTTTTGGCCTCCTTCTTTAACCATCAGAGAGAACGGGCACGATGTTATTTACACAAAAAGCAAGAGTTTGAGATTGGACTGTGCTGCCTCAGGACCTACTAGCCCAATATATCATCAAGCAACTATGTAAACAGCAGTCAAGCCAGTAATTTGCTCAAAGATGATCCCACATTGCCAAAGTGGCACAGACTGAGCATAACCCCCCCGCCTCACTGGTGCACTGTTGCCACCCAGCCCCCACGCTCCGGAGCTGGAGCGGGCTGCCTGCTGCCACCTCCTTAACACTTCTTCCCCACAGGCTGAACTATGTTAAACGAGTTGAAAACACGTTTCCTTAATAAAGGGTTTTGCTGCAACTTTGCCACTGACAAGAGAATTACAGCTCTGACTCAGACACCTGCAAACCCCAAACTAAAATGCCTTGGGAAAGGCCAGACAGGCTGCCTATAGGGCAGTCTACATCATGACTCCAGTCCACCTCGGTGGGTGTCTAACGCAGCAGGTGTTGTTCACAAATAGCTTGAAAATCCAATCTTTACAGTGTTCTGCCACTCCATGACTTAGGAACACAGGCAAACAAATAGATGTAGCTAAGGAACTGTGTAATAACATCAACAATGTGACCCTTGCGCATGCTCAAAAGCATACACACTCACTTTAGTGGGGGGGCGGGGGGATCACTACTTGCAAATTCCTCCTAACTGCAGTGAGGCAAACGTAACGTATATTTCTGAAACAACTCATCTTTTCTCAGTGATTAGTAGTTATAGCAATAGAGAAAAAAAACTGTTATTTGACCAAAAAAAGGGTCAGATTCTGAGATTATGTAAGTGTACGTAGTTCCCCTGGAGACCGCGAAGATAGCTTGACTTGTGTCTGCTGAGAATTCCCTCTACCATACAGATACATAGCTTATAAAATTTGCTTAGATGCCCTAGCATATGGATTCCAGCTTTACAAAGAAAACCTTAAGATGGGGATGGAAAAAAGAAAACTGAGGTTGTTTTATTACCAAAAATGATTATTTTATATTTTGATACTACCTAGGAGCCTCAAGAAAAATCTCTGCATTAGATACAGCTATACAATGCTCACACAGCACAAAATAAAGCCACTGCTGCAAGGCGCTTACAGTCTATCCTCCATCTGCAGTATGAATCTCATGGTATGCCTTAGTCATGACCCAATCTTCCCCGGCACCTCCTCTACCGCAGCTATCATCTCCTGGATGTATTTGTTCTGCCTTCCCCTCCAGCTCTGTCCTGAGGGGAATTACACTTTTATGTTCTTGATCAACAAGTAAGGCTTTAATGTTTCATTTTAAAGCCATGTATCTCAGGCTTTAATGTTCCTCTTTAAAGCCATGTATCTCACCCACACTGACATTTCCTGCAGTTGTCATCAAATCTGTTTGTTCAGCTAACCATTTTTTAATAAATGCTTTGCAGTTTGCCTGCAGCTACCAAACGCAGCCACCTCCTCAGAGATTCATGGGTGTTTCTAAAGTTCACAGTGAGTGCTGGGAAGATGGCGAAATGGTTCATTTTTGTCAGTGCAAAACTGTCTAGTACTCAAAGATCCCCTGCAACTGCTGCAGAGAGTACCCTGTTCCGTAAATTCACTGTTCACTATGGCCTCAAGACTATCACAGAGCTTCTTCAAGTTACTAGCACACAAGGTTTCTTCTGACCCTTCATTCACCTGCGGCATTAAACCTGGTAGTTCCCTTAATGTCATAACTTTCAGCACACACTACGGATGGTGGGATAGAAAATAAAGCTGTGAATTGCATCTCTTTTACTTGTAATGCCAAAAACTGGGAGATTAAAGCCAGATGTTATTTCTGAGATACTCCAGGGTGATGTAACGAACCCATTGTCAAGTTGTTGTTGGGTTTTTTTTAGCAGTATATTCTGCAGAAGTTGCCTCAGAGCTTGCAAAAGCAAAAGGTTGCTTGCAGTTATACTGAGTGACACAAAACAGGTAACTAGATTGTACTAGTATAAACATATTTGCATTTCAAGTGCAGTGATGACTACTCCTGAGCTTTTCATTTCCACAGGGAAATTCCATGCCTACCAAACAATATTTTAAAACGTCTCTTTTAAGTCACCCTCTACTATTTGCTATAAGACAAGGAGCAGTCTTCTTACTAACAGATCTCTAACTGTGCAAGACTCCACAGCAATTTTTGAGCTGCTGATGAGAGCTGAAGCAGAAAGTGCCCCAGGGAAAGTGAAACCAACAGATACAAAAGCGCTGAGGAGCCCGCAGAGCATCCCGCTCGGTAAACACCGGGTGAGAATTCAGACAGTTGCAGAAATAGGGTGAGGTTGCAAAACACGCCTTAAATGAGAGATGCAAGTCCGGTGGATTCAGTTTGCCAAAGGGAAGAGTTTAGAGGTGACTTGATCATTTTCAATAAATATGGGTGAAAGATTTCTATTGGCAGTCACTTCCTTAGACTAAAAGCCAGTCACAAACGGAAAGCAGATAAGTTAACATCAAAAATAACAGTGCGCAGTTCCTCAGCTAGGGAGCTCCTCGCGGCGCAGGGCTCCCCCCTCACCGACGGCTCTTCCTGACGGAGGTCCTCAGGCTCAAAGCGAAGGCAGAGAGCACTGGCGGAAGCGCTGCGGCCCCGCGGCCCAGATTGGGGCGGGTAATACAAACGGTCTGTCGGGCCTAGGTACTAACTACGGAACGGTGCTTCACAGAAAGCGCTGGGCGACATCCGGGGGGCCTCAGGGCGCACCGGAGGCGGAATTTCCCCCAGGAACGAGGGCTTTGCTGCCCCGGTCGCGCTGGAGCCG